TTTAATACAACTTCCTTAGAATATTTAAAATGTATGATACAGAAATTACTTTCAAAGATTACCTTAAGACTTTTATCACAAAGTTGACTTATATTTAGAAGATTGTGCTTTAGTCCATCAACAAGGAGCACATCCTTTATCTCCAAAGTGTTTGCACCACCAATGTTTCTGGTACCGAGAATTTTACCTTTGTTGTTGTCTCCATAGGTTACATATCCTTGTTCTTTCTTGATGAAACTTGTAAATTTCTTTTTATCCCCAGTCATGTGTCTTGAACAACCACTATCAAGATACCACATAGACTTTTTGGGTTTAGTAGATACCCACAAAATAAGAACATAAGATCTTAGGTCCTCATAACTTTTTGGGTCCTTGGGGTTAGAGACAATCAAATTATTCAATTATAGGAACCCAAATGTATTTTCCCTTAGGAACACCAAAATGCTTAATTCTACATTTATTTGAAGTATGATCATGTTTCATACAATAAGAGCATGCATTTGGGGTTTTAGTTTTTGAAAAATATTCAACTCTATTTTGATGAGGCTTAGTTCCTTTCACAACCCATATCCTATGGGTTCTATTATTTTTAGGTTTTCTTTAAGGAACACGACTATTACCATTAGTTTCCACATACTTTTGATTTTCATTGTTTTTACAATCACACATATCTTTTGTAGCATTATCTAACATATGCTCAAGTATTCAAATATCAAATTCATAGCTTTTACAAGATGCACAAACAATTGGATCATTTTCTTTTTCTTCAAAAGATGCAATTTTCGTTTTCAAGAATTCCACTTATTTTTCTAATTTATTTAAACACTTTTTCAGGGTTTTATATTCAGATTTTAAGTCCTTAAAAGCAATAAACAACTCTTGATATGCATTACGTAAAGCATCATTATAATTTTCATCATCACTTGAAGAATAGTCAGAATCACTTACCTCACAATCAGAAGAAATATTGTCATTTGTCATCAAGCAAAGATTGACTTCAACATCGGACTCACTTAACTCTGAACTAGAGTCACTTTCTTCCCAAACTATATAGGTTTTCTTTTTGAATGACTTTCTTCCTTTTGAGTCATCACTCTTTTATTATAGTTGGGACAATCGGATTTCAAATGACCTGTTTCACCATAACCATAACATTTGAAACTTAAAGAATAACTTTTTTTTTATCTTTCCCTTACCTTTGAAAGGTTGTTTGCCTTTTGCTTTTATGAATTTTGTAAACTTCTTAATCATAAGACTCAAGTTTTCATCTTTTTCATTTTCAGAATCTTCTTCCTCTTTCTTATTTTTATTTTTAGAAACCTCAGTTTTGAAGGCTAGGTTTCTCTTTTGATGTTGGCTTTCTTCATCATTTAGTCTTCCTAATTCAAGTTCGTACTCTCTCAACTTTCCAAAGAGAGCCTCCATGGTCATTGATGCAAGATTTTGTGACTTCGTGATAGCAGTCACCTTTGGTTGTCATTTCCTATCTAAAGATTTCAAAATTTTAACATTTAACTCGTCAGTATCAAAACTCTTACCAAGACCGGTGAGATGGTTCATAATATGTGTGAAACGCTTTTGAACGTCAACGATTGCTTCTTCTTGTTGCATTCAAAACATCTCATATTCTTGAATCAATGAGTTTTTTCATGTTATTTTAACATCATTGGTTCCTTCGTGTGTCACTCTTAGTATCTCCCACATTTCCTGAGCACTTTTACATACAAAAATTTTATAAAATTCATCAAGTGTTAAAGCAGATGAAATAATATTTCTAGCCCTAACATCATATTGGGCTTTTTTTTTTCTTCTGCAGTCCATCTAGAAAATGGTTTTGGTTCTTTTACTTCATTTACAATCATTTTTGGAATAAATGGATCATTTACAACAGCTTCCCAAACACCCCTATCAACAGACTCCAGAAATATTTGCATTCTCATTTTCCAAAATGGATCATTTTGTCCAGCAAAAAGTGGGGGTTTGTAAATAGAAGCACCTTCAGCAAATGTTTGGTTTTGTCCGGTCATTTTCGAAGATTTAAAAAACTATCAAAGTAAGCTCTGATACCACTTGTTGGTATCGCACAACGGAATGCTTGCGTATAGGACAAAAATCAATAGGGGGGTGAATTGGTTTCTTATAAAAAAAAATCCTTTTTAAAATTTTCATAAGATTTCACCCATTAAACAACAACTATAAAGTAAAGAGACAAGGGAAAGAAGATTATACAGTTGATTTATACTGGTTCGGATCAAAAGACCTTACGTCCAGTTGATAATCACTCTAACAGTCACTATAATCAAAGTTTTAAACAGATTACAAATTACAAAAGATAAGGATAAGAAAACACATCTCTTGAGTCACACAAGAGATTAACACCTCCTTTGAATCCACAAAGGATGACAACAGTTTTTCCTAGAGACTGCACAACACACAATCCACCAAGAAACTCACTTAGTGATACTTATCGCTTCTAGCCCACACTAGCTTACAAAAACCTTTTTTTCTTCCCTACTCAAAGTACTCTCAGCAATCACAACTATAGACTTTAGTATGAAAAATGTTGTCATTACAGAGAGTTAGAGAGTTCCTTAAATAGATATTTTAGGGTTTAGAAATTAAGATTTTCAAAATTAGGTCTGAAATTTGAAATTCAAAATCATAACTGACACAAATAATCGATTATCATTCTAGAGTCAAATTCGTAGAATACAAAATTTAGCCAGGATAATTAATTATCAACAGTGATAATCGATTATTCCAGAGACTTTTAGAAACCCAGAAACACCAGGATAATCGATTATCACAAGTGATAATCGATTATCACAGTGGGTTTTAGATAAAAATAAACTTTCAATGGACAGACTGTGTGCTGGTTATCTTGGACTCTATTTTTATAGACTCAGACTGATAAAACAGAGTTATTACAAGTAGATACAAGTATATATGGGTCTTCTAATCTTTGAAGTTCTTTGACTCTAAAACATCATCAAAATCTTCGTACATATCCTTGTATGTTCAACCGTTTAGCTAATAAATAGTGGTATTTAATTTAAAATATAATAAAAAATAAAAGATTAGCTAATTAAATATATTTTCTTAAGTTGTAGAAGAAAATGTTGGTTTTTTTTTAATATTATGTAACTTTAGATTTTTTTTTATTAAAAATTTGTGTTTTATATTAATAAATAATGGGAATCAAATTTTAAATGCAATTAATAATAAAAACTAATTCAGTACATAATTTTTAAGATGGCTTTTTATATTAAGGAATAAAAAAATATTTAAAGAAAATTCTACACCCTAAAGCAAGGAAGTTCCATTATAATGATTTAATTAGATAATAATTAATGAAAAGAAATCATAAAAGATTACGAGGCTTAACTTAACATTTGACAAAACTAACTAGAGAGTTAGTTAAAAAGTAAAATATGAAAGTTGATAAGTTGACTTACTGACTTGAAAATATTTAGCGGAATTAATTTTTGAAACTAATAAATAATGATATAAATTATACATAATATTTAAATTATTTAAAATAATTTATAATTTTCAAATTTAGGATTCAAAATTTTATTTAATTTTAAAAATTTATTTTAACAATTAATTTTTAATAACTATTTTTAAAAATAAATTAAATTTATTTAATAATTATAATTCTAAAACTATTTTGATAAATTCACGTAGACGAATACAAAGTCACATAAGTATCATTAATAAAAAAAATTAATATTTTTTATTCTAAAATTTAAAAGATAAAAAAAATCGAAAACTGTTTTGATAAAATATTTATTAGACAAATTTTATATTTATTTTAAAATTAAAAAATTTTAAATTATTTTTAAAGATAATAAACAAATAAATCTTAACAACCTATCATCCATTCATTTGCGAGAGAAAAAAGTACACTCCTTATTTTTTAGAAATAAATGTAATTTTATATTTTTGGGTTTCAATGTCCAATGAACAAAGAGTTTTTTTTTTTTAATTCTTCATTGTTTTTTGGTTTTACTATTAAATAAAGTAGATGAAAAAAAGAGGTAAACTCTAACAAAATAGAAACAGTATTATTTGCATTTTTGATTAAGTTTTTTTTTTTAAAAAGCAAAAACATAAATACGTATTAATTATAATAATAATAGAAATCAAAACATAAATAAAAATTTTAAGAAGACTAAATTAAGAAAAAATATTTATTGAGAATCCAAAATATATAAATTGATTGAACATCAAAAACATAATATACATACTGTGGCATTAATAAAGTTTATTAACAGAAAAACATAATAAACAGAAAAACAAAAATGAAAATTTTATTAAAAACCGAACATGAATTATTTTTATTTAGTCTCATAAATAAAGTTCGTAAATTTATATCAAAAAATAGTCATGTAAAGTTAGTTTAACAAACATATATTGTGAAAGTAATCTTTTTAATATAGTTCATAAATATTAATATAACTATTATAAAATAAGTAATATTACCATTCAATCTCGTTGAAACCTAATGACAATATAATTTAAATAAATTTTAATTTCGATAAATTTTTTTTTTTCATTTTGATAAAAGTTTTTTATTCTTATTATTTGAGAACTTAATCTGTTTTTTAACCTCTGTTAACTTAATAGTGAAATCGAGCATAAGAAAATAAAATAAAAAATTAAAAGCATCATAGAACAATAAAGAATATGAATAGAATTAAAGAGGCAGAAAAAATTTAGAAGATGAAAACAGAAATGATAGACAATAAAATCTTAGTTAATTATCTGGAATACTACAGTTGAAAGCAGTGACATTGTTATTTGAATAGTTATATATATATATATATATATATATATATATATATATATATATATATATATATATATATATATATATATCACACATATATGAGTCAGTTGAAGCACCAGAAATAGTTTGCAATACTAAAAGAAAGAAGGCACATTACATATGAAATATAGCTAGTGGTGAAATGTGACAAAGGGTGACATTGTCTTGCTCAATTCATAATCTGCATGTTCTTCAGCCATTGGTCTAAAGGTCTCCCAATTGAGTAAACAATGAATCCAATCTCCCTCAACTTGTCAACATTCAACATGTTTCTACCATCAAACACAAATGCTGGTTTCTCCATCTTGTCATACACTCTTTCATAGTCAATTGTCTTGAACTCATCCCACTCTGTAAGAATGCATATTCCATGAGCATCTCTGGTTGCCTCATAAGGATCTCCAACAACATTAACCTGTTTCACAACAGTGGAACTCACTGCTTGCAGGTGGATTGGATGGTCCCATTCAACATCACCCATTGACAAGTCCTTTTGAATCTGCTCCTCAGTAACACGTGGATCATAGATGCTCAAGCACGCGTTATCTCCCAAAAGGCCTTTGCAAACGTCAATTGCAGGAGTTTTCCTTGTGTCACTAGTGTCCTTCTTGAAGGCAAAACCCAGAATTGCAATCTTCTTACCTGAGACTGTGTTGAACATTGAGGTCACAACCCTGTGCACAAACCGACTCTTTTGGTAGTCATTCACCTTGATCACTTCTTTCCAGTAATTAGCCACTTCAGTGAGGCCATTGCTCTCACATATGTACACCAAGTTGAGTATGTCCTTTTGAAAGCAAGAGCCACCAAAACCAACACTAGCATTAAGGAACTTGGGTCCAATTTTGGTGTTTTTGCTGAGAGCAAGAGAAACTTGTGAGACTTCAGCCCCAGTGGTCTCACATAAGGCAGACATAGCATTGATAGATGAAATCCTTTGGGCCAAAAAGGCATTGTCAGCTAACTTGGACAGTTCTGCTGACCACAAATTAGTCGTTATGATTCTGTCTTCAGGAACCCAATGAGCATATATGGCCTTCAATTTTTGGATTGCTTCTAAACCTTCAGGGTCTTGGTTCCCTCCAATCAGAACCCGGTCAGGGTTTAGAAGGTCCTGAATGGCTGTTCCCTCAGAGAGAAACTCAGGATTTGACAGAATTTGGTACTTGATGCCCTTGCTATTAGTATTGTGAGTTAAAATTTTCTCAATTGCCTCAGCTGTTCTCACTGGGACAGTGGATTTCTCAATAACAATCTTGTTTGAGTTGGAAACATCAGCTATCATCCTAGCTGCACTTTCCCAGTAAGTCAAGTCTGCAGCCTTGCCAGCTCCAAGTCCTCTGATTTTTGTGGGGGTGTTTACTGAAACAAAGATTATGTCTGCCTCATAGACGTGCTTTTCCACATCGGTACTGAAGAGGAGGTTCTTTCCTCTACACTGATTCACCACTTCTTCTAGGCCAGGCTCATAAATAGGGAGTTTCTTGCTATTCCAAGCTGATATGCGAGAGTGAGAGATGTCAACCACAGCCACTTCAATTGAGGGACATTTCAGGGCAATCACAGCCATTGTAGGACCCCCTACGTACCCAGCTCCAATTCCACATATCTTCACCATTTTCTTTGCTTACAGATTACAACCTGTGAAGCATTTGTGAGATACAATTTGAGCTCAAAGACAACTTTTGCATGCATTAAGACAATAGATCAGCCTACAAGTCGCAAAAGTTTTAAGTAATTTGCACCAAGTTCAAATTTCATTGTTGCTATGTTATGAAAAAAGAAAAACTCAGAAGTGATTTCCCTCATTCAATTGCAGAAGAAGGAATTGTAAATGGCACAAATTCATTTTTTCCTTTCCTAGAAAACCATAAATGCCCCTTTCCTAGATTTGACCTTATTCAAAATAACAAGTATAGTTATTATCCTAAGAGCAAGAAACGGGTCCAACTAGCCATACATGAGATCATCACAGTCACTAGCACTATGCAATATACATGTTATTTGAAAAATACAACAAAAGAATTGAGCCAGATCAGTCACTCAGTTCAGTACGCAAGTCTCATTATTTTGTTCACAAACAATAAATTTGAACAAGACTGGTTTCGGATAATAAATCTAAGATTAGTCACAAAACGGACCAGGACAACTATTAACAGCATCCTTCTGTTTTCCTTTCCAAAAAGAAAAACGAATGACATGGGAAATATAATTGATCATATCTGCAAAAATATGCAAACTCACAGTGACAGATATGTTATCCATGAGCAGGATGAAGAAGGAAGTAACAAGAGTTGAAAATATGAAACTAAAAACCATTCAGTACCTTATTTGTAAATACCTCTGTGCTCAACGTTCAAACTTCACAGCAAAGGGATCATACAAGAAATTAAGAAGGGTGGTGTACAAATGATAAGATGAGGATTATAACATGGGAATGTTGTAAGAAGAGAATGCAATTCAGTAAAGCAGAAAGACAAGGTCCTTAAATAGTTGTGGTAAAAGTTAATAACTTGGTATTGAAAAGATTATCAAACTTGACTTGCGTTTCAACTTTTGCTTTTGAATCTATTTATATACTTGTCTCTGCCAAAATCACATATTGCTAACAAACAATATCCATATTTTTTTAATAAGACCAATATACCAATGTGTAATAAATAAAAGAAGAGAAAATAGTTTATACACTTTTTATAATAATGTGATTCAATCATAAATAATGTTATGCATGGTAAATTTTCTCATTTTTATAAAAACTATTTTAAAAATATACTAATAATGATTTGCTATTAACTGATAGTATAAAAAAATTATACTTACAATGCCTGATCCATTGAACTCATAAAAAGAATCATACTTTTTAATAAAAACAATATTCAATGACCGACCAAGTCTCAAAAAATAATCTGATCTACTTTTACGTTAAAATGCCCATTTTAAAATTAATTTTAAAACTTATTTCAAAAATCACAAATAATTCAGAGACGTATGCTAATTTTTTTTTAACTACTTCTGTACTAATATCATTAGTTAATGTCGTGAGTTTTTTTCCTCTTCTTAATATCATCAGATATAAGTATTATAGTATGATTTGATTTTTTTCTATGAAATAAAAAATAAGATGTAATATTCAATTTAAACACAGTAATTATAACTTATATATCTAAATATGGGACTTTGAAAAGTTGGAAGAGAGTAAGGTTTGGAAAAAGAAGAGATCGAAACCAAATTGGCTTATTTTCTCGATACTTTCCTCCAACAATTCCAAAATCCAATAATTCAGCACCGAAAAATGATTTGCACAGAAAAAACAAGTGAATGAATGACATCAGCCATGCTTTTGAGTTTGGTGGTGACTCACGAACAATATATGATCAAGATTTTATTTTATTTTAACTTTTTTTTATCATTGTTTATAATAAAATATTATTTGTATTGAATATACTAATATCTATAAAAAAGAAATAATATAAGAGAAAAATTAAAAAATAGAAGAAAATAAAAGAGAAAAGAAGAAAAAAGTGTGATAAGTATAAGGAATGAAAAAAAAATGTAGTTAATTTTTTATATGATAGTAGTTTACAATTAACGGGACAATATATATGTTACTAAATAAACCATAATTTTGTCTTATTCGTGTTACTAGATAGAGAGAAATACATAAATAAATCATTAATAAAATAACTTCATCTATCTCACTCAAATATAAATATTTGAAATGAAAATTTATAAATACTGAAATGTTGATAAAAATGTCAACGTTCTATATTTAGATAGAAAAATTCTTAAGTTAAAATTAAAATATATTAAATGGAAATAATTTTATTTAAATATATTCTTTTTTTTAGTTGTTTATTTGGTTAGATAAGATAATTAAAATTTATTTTTTAACAAATATTTTAATTTTAACCAAATAAAAAATATATTTCAATATTAATCAATATTTAATATTAGACAATGACCGAATGGATAGAAAGATTATGGAAAAAGTAATATATAATTAAATTAATTATAAGATGAAATTAAAAATTTCTAATTTTAAATATTTCGTATTCAAATATATTGTAAATAGTAATATCTATTTGAATACTTAAAATCCTAACCAGATACGAAATACTATTAAGTAAAAATATATAAAATGATAAACCATAAAAAAATTGATACATGAACTGTTCCATTATTAGACTGCAATTCACACAATTGGATTACACAATTCACACTCCCCCTTTTGCTATACTCACCCCTCACTCAATAAAAATAAATAATTTCTATTGAAAGTAGGTTTCAATCCAGTCCAAGCTGCCCCTTGTACACTCACAATTTATGTGTGTTGCGGTATAACAATATCATAAATAATATATTTTAAATAAAAATTATTTAAATATAGGTTTATTTACTCATTTATTATTTATATACAAAAGTTAATAAAATAAATAAATTTATTTGATATAATATAGATTTTTTAAAATTTATTTCCTTTTGTATTTTCATCATTTATTTCTTGTTATTTTTTTCTCTATTCTTACTCCATCTTATTATTCAGTTAAAAATAATAAATTAAAATTTGATAATATAAGTTCTTTTTATTACTGAAAAATAAAAATATATAAATAATTTTAAAATATTATATTTTATAATATTTTATATTATAAAAAGTATTATATGATAAATTTGAGATGTTACAAATATTATTATTATTATGTTATAATTATTAAGAAAAAAATTAAATATTTATTTTAAAAAGTTTTTATAATAAATATTTTTTTTAAATTACATAATCTAATTAATTATCACAACTTAAAACTATTATAACTAGATATAATTATTAAATAAAAAATACATTTAATTTATAAATATTTAATATTTTTTAATTAGATAAATAATTATTTATTATCAAAATAAATAAAATTATTTATTATTGTCATAATTTTAAATAAATAATTAATATTTTTTAGTTTCAATATTTTTTTAAAAATATTTATTTTAATATACTTTTATTAAATTTTAATTAGAAAATAAGTGAGAAAGGAGCCATAAATTACAAAAGTAAAATAAAATAATAAAAAAATGAATGAAAAAAAAATTTATGAAAAAGAAAATTATATATCAACAATAAACAGGTCTATTTAGTAAATAAATTTATATAAATTTTATTTGAGTAATTTTTCTTTTAAATATATTATTTTTAAATTCTTTCCTTTTATATATATATATATATATATATATATATATATATATATTTATTTTTAATCCATCAAACTATATTTAAAAAAAATTATATCTTCTTATCTTAAATTTTCCCTAATTAATTGTCTCCAACATCTTATATATGCTTAATTTATAAACTATACTTATATCATTTGATAATAAAAATAATAAAAAATTATTGAAAGAAAGAAAAAGTTTAATAAAATAAATTAAATTAAGAAAACAAAAATAAAGAACAAATAAAATAACTATTAATAATTTTATTTTCTATTTTAATATTAGTTTTAATATAATAAAATAACACAAATAAAATATTTATAACAACCAAAATATTAATAAAATATTAACTATATAAACATTTATATGTAATAATTTTAAAAATAAATATTAATAAAAAAAATATCAGCGATATAATTAATTATATAACATTTTCTCCGTCTTTCTTCTCATATATTTAATAAATGGAAAGATTATTCTCATTTTTAATAACAAACAATTATAGGATAACCTTTTATAGGTTTCTTTCTCCGCCTAAACCAAACCAAGTCAAGAAGTGAAGGAGAAATGTTATTCTCACTCAAATCCAACAATTTCAAACATGTCAAACTATTCCAATTACCAGACACCGCATCTTCCCCCTCCAACAACATTACACATCCCCAACTCCAACACTGCCATCAAACTCGTGACCTGAGCATATTTTTAGCAAATTCATTCCGAAAACAACAATCCAAGAAATAACATTCTAAAATAAATTTTAAACTTTGCGTAAAAGTTTCAAATTATGTATTCTAAAACATGTTTTTTTTAGAATATGTAATTTAAAAAGCATATGAACTTCAAAAAGTCATTTTCCTTGTTCCACTGTAATAAAGCGTGCAAGAAACACCTATAAAAGTTCAGAAAGCAAAAAATTGCTACAAACAATTTCCTTCCATGCGTTGGTCATTAAGACAGTACTAATAAGATTCTTACTCTTTTCCTCAACACTGGCAGTACAGTCCATTAATGAATAAGCACAAATCTAAGATATTCATTTATACACTCATTTCACGGGCAAACACAGATGGAAAATGTTATGGGTAGCTATATCCTGTTCTCTCGTTTTGATTTTCTTTTTAGTTGTTTTTTTTCAAATCAAGAGCCATTGACCCAATATAAAATGTGTTGAATAGGAGAAGTCACTGAACTTTCATAAACCTAGTTGCTTCGATATAAATCAAGGGCATGAGAAAAACGTAGAAAGCAATGCAGTCACCTTGCTGGTAACGTATTTTGAGTACGTTACTTTCAAGGCAAGACAACTAACTTCCACCTTCTTGTGCAGTAAACATTCTGAGTTTTTAATAAAAGAATACGGTGAAAAATGGAAGTGCAGTTAGGTGTGAATGTTTTGGGAGAGGTAGGTGGCCGTGTAAATTTACTCAACCCGTTGTCGTTCTGGCATGGAAAATATAGATAAAGAGGAAGCAGTTACTACCACTACTACTGCGAGGAGAATCAACATCGAGTACAATGGCAGTGACCTATACGACTCGTTTGAGTTCAAACAGATGATTTTACAACTCAACGAGGCCATTCAAACCTCCAAAGCATCTTCACCAACTTACCAAGAGATGGCACACAAGCTAAACAAGGCCATTCAGGGTTCTAATGCCTCATCTCCAGCATATGTCTTTCACATAAATTCCCCCTTCTATCGACGCCACCTGAAGCGTATCTACAAACAAAACACTAAGACACCGAGAAGAATTTCCAGTCCAAAAGTACCAGACAAACGAGCATGCACAGGAGGAACAAGAGAAAGAGGTTTTGTATCACGCCTGTGGTTGAAGGTTAAAGGTCTACTTGGGAAGAAGCATGAAAGTGAAGAGGGGATAAACAGACCCTCGAAACCATTTTAACATGAGTCACTCGTTTTGGTTATGCAAAGGTAACACTGAAAACTCAGGTCAAGGAAGTTCTTGATTTACGGTCTGAAGAACAATTGAAATAAGGCGCAACCGTGCTTAAAAACATTCCTTCTATGTCAACCATTTACTATATTGTTCAATAAATCTATGACAGAGCATCCTCTCACAATGTATATAGCACATAAAATAATGAACATACCAAATGTAAGCCATTTGATGTATGGGAGCATGTACAGTACATATAACTTCGTATAACTGATTTCATTCTTTCTTTTCGTGTAAAGATTCATAATACACAAGCCTGCTTCAGAAGTAGCAGGAAGTTTGGACAAAAGATGCAAAAAGGAAAAGTAATGCACAGGGTGAGTTAAATATATTTCAAAAGAAGTACAAAATCTCTAATCACTTTCACAGGGTGGAGAAATATTTCTAGGACAGCCTCAGCGCCATTTCATGAAGAAGAGCTCTCTTTTGTGAAGCATTAATTACATTATGTGTTTCAGCATTCTCAAGTACTTCAGCAATTATTGCAGATGCAGGGCCAAGAGGTTCCTCAGCCACCCTCTTCAACATGAAAGCCTGAACAACCACAATAAAGGAGAATAAGGCCAACAGATGTCGATACATTTTATTGGTGGAGCAGTTATGAATCAATAATATCAAAGGATAAAAAAATCAGAAACTTCTAATTTAAATGAGACAAAATATATATGTTGTTGTATTATTTTTTTTCTTCGCAGCATCGATCATTTTCCAGGATATAGAAAAGTTGATAATTTCAGTGGGATTGGTAATTTTCTTTCCAGAAATAAATATAACCGGGAAAGTAGATTCTTGCCAGTTACTACAGTTTTTAAAACATGATATTCAGTTATTATACAAACAGTGCAAGGATATCAAATTTTAATGCAAGTAACACAAAGGAGTTGATGCAGCATGTAATTCACAGTGCAGTGGTTTTAGAATGATAACCTGGCCATGATGGGTTATGGAAATTGTGCAGGGTTTCTGAAACCAAGGCTCTCCATCAATTTGAACAGGAAACATGGCAAACAGTTGTATCTTAATTGACTGTCCTTGTGCAAGTCTTCGAGCTCGAGAAAGTCCTACCTGTTTTGACAAAGTCGTTGTCAGAGAATTTGAGCTTTCATGATTTCATAGTTCAAATAACTTACCTAGAGTTTAATCTAGACAAATAAATCATGTCTTAATATGATTCAATTGAATTATCAAAGAGAGCTAAATAGAACATGATTCTTAAATAAAGCAAATGTAACATAGACCACAGACTTAATACAAATGAGATGCAGTTCCACCTCCACGCAAAACATGATTTAAAAACAACAGAAGAAGCACTTGCATGCTTTAGTTCCATCTGTGTTTTTTATTTAATTCAAGAAGAAAAAAAGGTCACTTCGACATTCTTTAAATTATGATGTCAAATCTCAAGTAGTAGACCCTTTAGCTACCGCATCATGTACATACTAAAGTTATGTTTCACTAGTATGGAAATCCAGGATTCATTTTACCTGAAGCTTCCCCAGGTGCCATGTTCCCGATATGCTCACAACTTCAAGTACCTTATCGTGCATGGATTGTTGATCAAAATTATCATAATTGTCATCCTCATTTTGCCACAAATCTACACCTCCCATGTAACTGCCAATATTTGCAACAAGCACGCCTTCTGCATCCTGAACCATATGAATAATTCAACAAAGGGGCCTTGCTCTTATTTTAGGTGTGGGCATGTTGAAAAGAGAAAGGCAGTTCTGGTGTAAAAAAATGAGTAAATTACTTTCACCTCCTGTCCCCAAACTTAACCCCATGCTAACAAAAGAAAAGATATCACTACCTCCATTCTAAACATAAGACTCTTCAAACTTATTTAGACCCATTAATAAAGCTAGTTTATTTAGTTAGTAGAATTAAATATTAAAAATTATTATTTTCCAAAATTACTCTTAAAATTATTAGGATTCGCTATCTTGCTTTTTCCTCTTAATTGTTTTCTATCTGATTGACTAATGCTTGCAAGTCACCTTCTCCAATTCTTATAGAAGAGAATGAATTTAGATTATTAATTTATACATTTATTGTAAAGTAATAAAGGGTATTTGGTCTTAAAATAATTAATACAACAGACAAATTGAGAAGGGTGTTATAAAAAAGCTTACATATAGGAATGAAGGTAGTAGAAACTTATTGCAAAGATTACACCTTCAATTTCTAACACATTATAGATATAAAAAAGTAGATAAATTACTCTTAAAAATAACATTTTGACATTATAAAATATTTAGAGTTAAAAATCTTTTATATATAGGTATAGATAAGATCTTCTTGGGAGTTGAGGGAGTCATAACCTCCCAAAGTTTTGTAACTTCTATATGCATTTATAATTTTGGCTCCCGAAAACTTAATGATCATTAAATATACTTTTTTTGTATATTTACAATTTTGGTCTCTCTCCTTTTCATCTTCTTTTCTCTTTTCATATTCATTTATTATTTATTAATAATATATTATTTAGCCCTTCAAAATCAATGGTCAAGATTCGTCCAAGACAGGCTTGGCCAGCCCACAACCCACCTAATTAATAAAAAAATTATTTTTTATTATAATATAATTAATCATAAAGACAATATATAAGGTGAAAATTTGTTAAAAGAGAATTAAAAAGGTTTCACTCTCACTTATTATAGGAAATATTATCCTTACTCAAACACAAGTTCCTCTCTCTCCTCTTGTCCTTGTTACTCATCATCTCCCCCTTGTTCATCTTAAGCATTGATTATTCTTATCCTCATGACTTTGAATTGAAGGTATGAGAATTACTCAAGGAGAGAACAATATAAAGTTTTATCAAATAAAAAAGATATAATATAACTTTCATTTTAGGTATTTGAATTTTTCAATATAAAAAATATAAATTTTGCAAGTTTTAACATTATTTATATATTTTTTATTATTTATTATTATATAAATTTTATTATTATTCTAAAATATAATTTCTTAAAACAATTTATTGATTTATATTATTAACTTGACATATATATGTGAATTATTGACAAAAAAATATAATCTTATTATTAAATTTATTAAAAATTTTGATTAAAAATAAATAAATAATTTAAAAAAAATTATGACGGGATAGACCAAGGTCTACTGCCCGTCATGATTATAGCATGTCATTCCACCCTGTCCAATTTTTGGCGGGCCAAAGGTGGGCCAGGCCAAAACGGGGCGGACAGACCCGTTTTGCCATCCGTATTTCTAGCACATCCTAGAAAATAGAGGTAAAGTAAGTAATTTAGTTTACTTCAAAAAACAACATCTTAAGATTTATAATGTATTTAGAGTAAGTAACTTGAATGAAAAAATAAGGTTTACTTCCTTGTTGATGAGGACCAATAATAGAGGGAAAGCACTTCAAAGAACATGGTTTAAATAAAGAGAAAAAAGAAACATTAAGAGCCTTTCAAGTTCAGGATGATTACGGGAAGACTCTAGGAGTTAAAGAAGAATTAGAGAACATACTCTAAGAAGAAAAATCTCATTATAAAAATGAGAAGCTTTGTTTTAAAATATGTAGAAGATTCTAGAATTTTCTAAAAAATTTTACCATGTTTTAGAACAAGGAGGTTAAATGTCATAAACTAACTCCAACTACTAGTAGTTAAAGTTGGATCATATTATTACATGAGGCAAGGAAGTTACAACCTTCTTAGATTCCTTGCATGTATATTTTCCGCCACCATGGGTCCATTCCCCTTGATTACTTTGTTTTGTTTCTCTTTTCACACCTCATGAAGTTTCTTGAACATGTATTCTCATCCTCTAGATAGAATATTCGTCCATTGTATTCTACACACCTGAGATAAATGAGAATTAGAGTTTTTGTTAGATTTTAAGTGTCTTGAAATATTGATACTCGTAGCTTAGGTTAGGTTTTTGTACTGGAGAGTTTCTTCAAGTGATGAATCAACAATGCCCTTGTTGTTGATGCATCCCAAGGTAGTGTGTGTTGAACATTCAAGGACTTGATGTTGCACTTGATGAACATGAAGATTGTTGATTTTGATGATGATTCAAGAACTCAAAGACTTAGAGTATTGAAGACGTGTTTTGTAGTGTAATAACTCTGTTTTAATTAGATTGAGTCTGTATTTTTAGAGTTTGAGATAGCCAGTACATAGTCTGTAACTTAGAAGCTTCAAAAAGCCCAAATATATCATCCAGGCTCGGCTTTAATCGATTATATAGGGAAATAATCGATTAAAACAGTGAGAAAACCATTTTCAGTATATACTCACTGTTTTAATCGATTAAAACATCAAAATAATCGATTATTAGGTCAAATAATCGATTAAAACTTCAAATAATCGATTAAAACAGAGAGGTTTTGGGTTCTGTTTTTTTTGCTCTGTTTTAATCGATTATAACTCCATTTAATCGATTATTTCAATCTGTTTTTCATTTTAAATTTCAAATTAACCCTATTTTCGAAAACCCAATTACCAAGAACCCTAGTTTCGAAATTCCCTTTTTCTAAACCCTAATTTCCCTACTTAAACTCTCCTTTGGCACTCAGAAGAATAAAAGAACAACCTTTTCCATACAAAAGTTAAGTGCTGTGAGTGCCAGAGAACTGTTTGTTGCAAGGAAAGGGGGCTTTCTGAACCTGGTGTGGGCTAGAAGCGATAAGAATCACTAAGTGGAGTTCTTAGTGGATTGTGTGTTGTGCCGTCTCTGGGGAAAGTTGTTCTTCATCTCTTGTGGGTTTCAAGAGAGGTGTTATCTTTATCTTTATCTTGTCAATTGTAATCTGTTGTAACAACTTGTTTATAGTGACAGCGTTAATCCTCTGTTTGAGTGATTAGCAACTGGACGTAGGGTCTTTTGATCCGAACCAGTATAAATCTCCTGTGTAAGATTCTCTATCCCTTTCTCTATTTACATTTACACAGATTTTAATCGGTAAAATTTGGGGAAAATTTTGAAAACCTAATTTTTATTAAGAAACCAATTCACCCCCCTCTTGGTTTTTGTCCGACCACGCGACCATTCTGCTGCGCGATTATAACAAGTGGTATCAGAGCTTGCTTTGATAGTCATTCAAATTTTCGAAAATGGCCGGACAAAATCAAACTTTTGCCGAAGGTGCGTCTATCAACAGACCCCCACTTTTTGCGGGTCAAAATTATCCTTTTTGGAAGGTACGAATGCAAATCTTTTTAGAGTCTGTTGATAGAGGCGTTTGGGACGCTATTTTAAACGGTCCTTTTATTCCTAAAGTTTTTGAAAATGGAGTAGAAGTACCAAAACAATTTTCTAGATGGTCGGATGAAGAAAATAGGAAAGCCCGATATGATGTTAGGGCTAGAAATATAATTTCATCTGCTTTAACCCTTGATGAGTTTTACAGGATATCAGCTTGTAAGAGTGCTCAAGAAATGTGGGATAAACTAAGAGTAACTTATGAAGGAACCGATGATAGTGACTCAATTTCGGAATCAAGCGACTCAGAAATAGAAGCTAACATTTGCTTGTTGGCAAATGACATCATTTCTTCCGACTTTGAGGTTAGTGATTCCGACTCATCCTCAAGTGATGATGAAAATGATGTTGATGAATTACAAAATGCATATAATGAATTGTTTAGTGCTTTTAAGAACTTGAACAATAAATACAAAGCTGTGAAAAAGAGTTTAAGTAGTTCCAAAATGGAGGTAGAGTCCTTAAAAATGAAAATCAAATGTTTAGAAGAAAAGGAGGTAGCAAATACGAAAATTGTATGTTTAGATGAGGATAAAAACTTAGCATGTGCAAACTGTAAAGAGCATGAATATGACATAGATATTCTTAATCATTTGCTAGACAAAGCCGAAAAGGAAATAGATGATCTTAAGAAGCTTGAAACGGTATTTGCTCAAAATTGTGTAAATCATCAAGTTCCTTTGAAAAAGCCTAAAACTAAAAAGAAAAGAGTATGGGTAGAAAAATGAACTAGAGCATCTATGATTAGAAATGCATCATTTTCAAATACTATATCTAAAGCATGTTTTTACTGCATGAAACAAGGTCACACGTCAAATAGATGTAAAATTAAACATTTTGGTGTACCTAAAGGAAAATATATTTGGGTTCCTATAGTTAAATGAACTATTTGTATCTTGTATTTATTCAAAGAAAATGGATCATTTAGTATGTTTTAAACAGAATGCTTAGGTAAAATCATTTTATCTTTTCTATTGCATGAAGGTTCTTCACTTAAAGATTTTGCAAAATGCCTCTACAATCGTTTTAAACAACTAAAAACAAAGTATTTTTACAAAAAGCTTTCTTAAACATGTTTTTAACTGATATAGTTTTGAAAGAACCGATTAAAATCACTTAAAATGTTCAAAAAAGTCTTTTTACAGTATTTTAATCGATACAACTTGTTTTTAATCGATTAAAACCATTTAGAACTCATTATGATCGATCAGAATACAAATATGACCGATCAAAATCAAATGTGATCGATCAGATTTTAATTATGAGCGATCAGAATTTTTTCAATCGATTAAAACACGTTTCAATCGATTAAAATCACTTAAAGGGTCAGGATGATCGATCAGAATCCAATTATGACCGATCAGAATCAAATGTGATCGATCAGATTTTAATTATGAGCGATCAAAATTTTTTCAATCGATTA